TCACCGTCAAGGAATATTGCCGACCGGGAGGCCCAATGTTTGCAGCGGAGAGAGAACAGAGAGCGGCTAGGAACACAGGCCACTTTCTTGGAGTTCTAGTAACTGCTGCCAAGTAGAGGCCAAATGTGTGATAGCTCCCTCGATGGCTACACTTCCTCTTGCAGCTCACGTGTCTAAGCCTGTTGTAAGCTGCTAACGGCCGGTTGGGTAAGAGAGGAGTGACTTTGGAAATGAGCGGAATAGGGTGGGATTGGCCCTTGTGTCGGCCATGAGAACAACAACAATAACAAATTACTGGAAGACTCTGGATCACTAACATGAAAGCCATGCAAAATGTTCACTGTCTCTTTCTTTCTTTCTTTCTTTCTTTCTTTCTTTCTTTCTTTCTTTCTTTCTTTCTTTCTTTCTTTCTTTCTTTCTTTCTTTCTTTTCTTTCTTTTTGGTTTTTCAAGGCAGGGTTTCTCTGTGTAGCCCTGGCTATCCTGAAACTTGCTCTGTAGACCAGGGTGACCCTGAACTCAGAGATCTACCAACCGCTGCCTCCTGAGTGCTGGGATTAAAGGCGTGCCCCACTAAAACCTAACTGAAATTCACTGTCTTAGTGGAAGCATTTAGGGAAAAGTATGCTTACATTCCAAATTAGCTAGATGACTGCTTCTAATCTCATTCAAAAAATTAGTTGCACCTTATTTTCCTTCAGAGCTCTGAAAATCCATATAACTATATATTTTTTCCCATTTATTTAACTCATGAATATATATGTGTATGTGGCTGTGTAGAGGTCAGAGGACAGTTTGTGGAAGATGGTTCTTTCCTTCCATGTGGAACCTAAGGAGTAAGCTCTAGGCCTCAGGCTTGGTGGCAAGTGCTGTTACCAGCAGCCCTTCTTGTTTTCTAAAGACTGTCCTACTGGTCCTGGAAAATGTGATACCCATTATAGCTAAGACTGGCCTCCCATTCATGGTGATTCTCCTGTCTCAGCTTCCCGAGTGCTGAGATTACGAGTCTGTGTCATCACAGCCGGATAATAATTTTACTTAAAATTTTACTTAATTTTTTTACTTCTACTTTTTTACTTACTTAAATAATTTTACTTAAAACAATACTGCATAACATCAGAGCAGCGTCTGCCCATTGTTATCAAGGTTTAGCCAGAGCAGTGCTCTCAGTCCTGAGAGAACAGTAGGGAGATCAAGAGTGCAGAAATGGGAGGTTAAGTGGACATGTCCTGGGGCTCCATGAAGGAAACGTGTCCTTGAGACAAAGATCCAAAGAGAGAGCAAGGACAACAGTGATTGAGAACTGGGATAGACATAAAGCATTCTGTAGGACAATCTGAAGAGACAGGAATAGCTGGAAAGCAGTGGTGACAGCTAAGAGGTGGCTGTGCGTGCGTGCGTGCGTGCGTGTGTCTGTGTGTGTGCATGCAGGTAGCTGCTCAGGTTTGTCTTCGGGGACAATGTCTGTGAATGAAAAAAATGGAAATGAGCACATGGTGCTCCTAGGTATGGTATGAGGGAGAGCAGAAGCAGAGGCATCTGAAGACTCTAGAGTGAACATGCCCAGCGGCCATGAGGCAAAAAAAGGCCTGGTAGCCAAGATGGCTGAGGTTGTGCAGGAGTCAGAGAAGATGGGGAAGGCAGCCTAGGCCCTAGGCTGTAGAGTTGAGGGTTGGGAGTGGGATGTGCCAGTCAGAGGACTCTGTAACAGGCAGGGACTCGGGGAGACTGGTGGCCAGCCTGCTTTGATATGTTACGTAGGCACCTCAGTTAGCCATTTGTCATGAGCCTGAGACCTAACAGACTGTGCCTATGAAATTGTAAGCAGATAGCTGGGCCCACTTTATTCCCTTCTCTGAGCACATCAAACCCTTTCCTGAGGATGGCAACTTTCAGAGTAGCAGTCAAGCCCAGACCCTCCCTCCTTTCAACCAAACCCAGGCCCTCCCAGGTTACCTCCTGGAAAGGTAACCTGCTGTGTGGTGAGGAAAATGAGTTAGAGGCCATGTGTACTGGTAAATGAGACTGAGGCAGAAGGATCACAAGTTCAGTTAACCTGGGCTACATAGCAAGGTCCAGGTCAGCCTAGGAATCACACACACACACACACACACACACACACACACACCCTGCCTCTCTTTTTTTTTTTTTTTTAAATCAGAGGAAGACATTTGAGCGCAGTTTTCCAAAAAGCATCTCTTCAGAGCTAAGGTGAACAAGCAGACATTAGATTAACCAGCAACTCTGTTTTCAAGGTGGGGACATAAGCTCTTAAATGGGTGGCATGTCGCTCCTGACGCAGTCCAACAAAGCCATCATGAAGCAGTGCCTGAGGATTATTTTAAAAGTAAGTAAGCGGGCCCCACGGTCAGTGGCATAGCCCTAAGGGCCGTGGGGGACCCTAAGGAGCCCTGCTTGGAGATGTCCATCAGGAAAAGGGCATTGCTGCGATGCTTCAGGTGTCTCAGCCTCTGGGACAGCCATTGAGAAGTGCACTGTCACCTCACAGCTGCTTCTCAGACGTCCTTAAGCACTGTAGCAAAAACCAAATGACCTAACTCAAAGAAGCTGCGGGTCGTGATCTGGCACACAGCAGGCTCCCAGTAAATACTGAGCAAATTTTATTCATCTGTTTCAAGTAATTTGGCTAAATTGACATTTACATGATGAGAAGCCAAGGGAATATCTTCAAATATATTTAGATCACTCGCATAAGAATTCCAAGTTATAAGATGGACCTGGTGGCACAAGCCTGTAATCCCAGCACTCAGGGAGGTAGAGGCAGCGGATCTCTGTAAGGCTAGCCTGTTCTACAAAGAGTCCAGGACAGCCAAGGCGACACAGAGAAACCCTGTCTCAAAAAAAAAAAAAAAAAAGATTTTAAACCATAATTTTGACAAAGATGTTTATGCAACTGAGAAGCAACTCCATGTTTCCAAATAGGAGTCTTTAAACAAATGGTGGAGACCTCATCCGCAAGGCAGAACTAAAAGTCACTATTTCTCTGCTATTGCAGGTGAGGGTTAGTTTACTGGGATTTAAGATTTTGTTTTGTTTTTCAAGACAGAGTTTCTCTGCCCTGTCTGTCCTGGAACTCACTCTGTAGACCAGGATGGCCCCGAACTCAGAGATCTACCCGCTTCTGCCTTAATTTGAAATCTCATGCACTCTCAAGAGGTGCTGTTTTGCAAATGTGTGCTCCCATGCTCTTGTGGCGCTGGCGTTGGCTGCCTTCAGGGCCTCCTCATTGACTGTGACCATTTCCACCTCAGTTGTTCCAGGGTTGCAGAAGGGCTGCCACACCCACCCAGCACTTCCGGGGATCAGAGTTCTGGTCCTCAAGCTTCAAGGTAAACATCTCTGCCTGGGCTGTGCTCAGCCCTAAGAGAGTGAATTCTTGTGTGCGTTTGCTTTCAAGGAAAAGAGGCCATAACTCTCATCAAATTATTGAAGGCTTCTGGAGTAAGAAAACATGAAATGTAAAGCAGCTACTGCTTTTGATAAGTGAGATTTCAACAGCAGACGTCTGGATTGCTTAATTCTGGTTTCCGTAGATTAGCAGACCCAGCAGGAAGAGAGTTCCGAAGGCTTAATTACTCAAATGATACTTTTTTTTCCTTATAAAACCATACACACACACACACATGAGATGGTTTTAAATGTACATGTAGATAACACGCAAACATGAACGTTTTAAATGACTCCCTTTCACACTCCGGCTCTTCCAGTTACCTTCCTTTTCCAGGTTCTTAGGATCTGTTTCAGGCAGCCATAATGCTAGAGTCCCGTGGCAGAGAAAAGCAAAAAAGATCTCACAAATGATAAGTTGTACTGCGGAGATTAGTGACTGACTTTCTTGTCTACGAAGCTAAGTCCCCAAGTGCCCTCTGTAGCCCAAGACCACGCTCCTGTAAGGCCTTCAGCACAGTGCGGATGGACCCTTGCTCCCTGGCTGGGGAAGGGCTCCCAGGGAAGCTGACAGGACCGCTGGGCCGGGAAGTGCCAAAGGAGGTGCTGCCACTCTCGCTCTCAGCAGGTGGAGACGTGGGTGGCTGCAGGCTGACAGGCAGGTGGCTGCAGGCCATGGCCTCCCCTTCCTTCCTAGAGTCTACAGCCCACAAGAGGACCTTTACGTCTTGATATTGCTCACTGACACTTGACTCACCAGAAAGGGCTTTCAGGTGAAGAGAGTCTACACCCTGGAAGAGTTATGGTTTGGATTTAGAGACACTACGAATGCTTAAATGTTTTCTGGGGAGAGAGTCTGTAACTTAAAAACAAACAAACAGACAAAACAACAAAGCAGGGTCCCACATAGCCCAGCCTGGCTTTGAACTCTATGCAGCTGAGGCTGGTCTCAAAAATCAGATAATTGGTGTGCTCGCCATGCACGGAGAATTCTGTAGCTTTACACAGATTCTAAGCTGGGCTGGGACCTGGAAGATGAGGAGGCAGCAACACCTGCTCTGCAATCACTGTGCGGCACAAGCCTCTCAGGCCCTCGCCTCAGAAAACCTATTGTTTTCTTAGTCAAACTCTTCACTTAAGAAGCTGTACCATGAGGCCAGCTTGGTCTACAGAGCAGGCTCCAGGACAGCAGGGCAACACAGCGAAACCCTGTCTCACACAAACAAACAAAAACAAGCAAACAAGGAGAAAAGAGGTGCTGCATGAAAACTGTTAATGAAGTAGGGAAATTGTCAAGTGAACAATGTGTCCTATACCTTGATTTTTAATGTTTAATGTTCTGGCTAAAAAGAAAGACTGTAAACCAAAGTTAACTTCAGTATGTGAACTCATTCAAGAAATAATAAAGCCCTTGAAACACACAAAAAGTAGACTTTTGGGTCTCCCCTTCCCCCTGTTTGTAAAGCCATGGTAGGAATGAAAAGTAAAGTTCCCTGTTTTAGCTACAGGTCACAGAAAACACAAGGCTGAGAGGAGGCTGCTCTGAACTGAGGTAGTATCAGCTTTTCGATGAGGAAATACCAGGCACAGAAGTTTAGTTTTAGAATATTTTAATCCCCTTTTTTTTTTTTTTTCAGTGGATGCATTTTGAGATTCTTAGAATTAACAATTTAAAAAGCAGAGCAAAGGAAACATGAAAATGCAAACAATTGGTTCTCGCCAATATAATTTCACGTTCTAGGCATGATGCAATTTTCAAAACAACCAATCCCCCCCCCCCAAAAAAAAAAAAAAAAAAAAAAAAAAAAAAGCTTACCTTGAAAATCAAGAAATCCCAAAGCAGACTTATCTTTGGAAACTACAAGTGACTGCAGCCCAGGTGATGGTTGCACGCTGCCTTTGGTTCTCCGTGTCGTGTGCGAGTGTGCAGGTGCGGTACCCGGGAGTGAAGTCAGGGTGGAGGGAGCCATGCGCAGGTGCGGCACATGGGGGGGGGGGGGGCTCGTCAAGCAGTTTAAGGTTTCACAACTGATGCTCTATGTTCATTTGTGTGGGCTAAAATTACGTGTGCTTGATCAGACAGATGTATAGACTGAGCTGAGCCGGGGCCGAGGAGGAACGGGAAACACAATGCAAAGCAACTATGTACACACATTCAATTCTGTAGTATTGCTTCCTGCCCAGGCTCCTAAGGAGTATTGCCACCCGGAGGACCTCGAGTCCACCGCCTAGAAGCCCAACTGTCTCCAGCAACAGCTGTTTGTTCAACGTCAACAGACCAAGCTGCACGGCAGGTATGCTGCAGGACCCTGCGGCTCTGTGTTGAGGTATGCTTTGGGGCAGGGAGCTGGAAAGGCTCCAGGGGCCTCGCACCCTGAAAGAAGAAAATGTCTGCACTGGTTCTTCAGGAAGGCTCAGGGTGTTTCTTAAGAGCATTGCACGCTGTGCAAGCTTCCCTCCAACCAGGGCTCTACACGCACGATGCGGAACCGGCCACTGCCTCAAGGTTAATGACTCTCTCTGGCTGGTTTGCAGGTTTAGGGTTGGGGAATGGGCAGGGAAAGAATCACAAATACCTTTGTAGCAGAGAGAGGAAGAGAATGTGAGAGGGAAGAGGGGTGCAGAGATCAGCTTGGTAGAGCACATCTTGGTAGAACCAAGGCTGCAAAAACACGGACCACCAGCTAGCTCCTCAGAGCGAGGCAGCCTGAGGACAGACTGACTGACACTCAGATGATGTGCACACCCTAATACTGACAGAGGGAAACCCAACATGCCCTAAATCCCTCGTACAAGGAAAGAATCAGCTAGTGCTTTTAAGAAAAGAAAAAAATCTGTGGCATTGTACAAGAATACATTCTTTAGAAGCAAGAGGTATTGTCACAACTTATCTGTTCTTCGAGTTGGAAGACCAACAGGGAGCCAACTGGGAAGGAAAATCTTCCAGTCACTAAGAATACTCTAGGTCCTGGCATGGCTGTGCTGCATGGGTGGCCATCCCAGGTGTCCCCAGGGAAGTGGGTGACAAGAGCTAAGATGTCACCTTGCTAGCATCAGCCGGGTTCTCTCCATCTTTGGGGAGGAGTGACAACGGGGCTTAACTCAAGATGTGAAAACTATACAGTGAGGTTTACAGTGAAAGAACACGCCACAGGGCCGGGCGCGAAGGCCTCCCACAGACACAGAGCTGGTCCTCAGCTGTCTCATGAGCTGCACACCAGCGTCACCTGGAAAAATGACGAGGACAGGGCAACTGAGGCCTGAGTTCCATTCAGCATACGCTGGAGACTCAACATGGAAGAACACAATTACGAGCAAGGCTAGCAGCCAGGGACACAAACATCCTTGTGTCTGGCTGTTTGCACCTCCTCTGCCAAACAGACGGATGGTCCTGTCCCTTGATACACTGTAAGAAACCCCTTTCAAGAGTCTGAATTGGCCAGAAGAAGTAAATCCCACCACAGATTAGCCTGTGCAGGCCAACCGTGGGAGGACGGGCTGGAAGGTTTGCAGAATCCCGCGTGGAGCCGAGCCAGTTTTACTCTGGATCCCCATGAGGGGGAGCAGCACCCTGGTGGCACCTCGGGCCTCCGTGGATGAGACGTGAAACACAGAGGGACATCTTGTCATTGGTCTGCTGTGTCCTTTTCAAACTGCGTTGCCCACTCCCTGTTCCCCTCCACCAAAACTACCCAGCGGCCCCTCCCCATAACGCACACATCTCGATAAATAAATAAATAAATAAATTCATCCTCGGATGGTTAAACGTCTCCCTCAGATGGGTCAGCTTCTGAGACAAACATCTGCACTCTTGGCTTGATGAAAACACGGCTTTGAGGTGCCTGAGGCCTGGCTCTGTGGATGGTCTGGATGAAAACACGGCTTTGAGGTGCCTGAGGCCGGGTTGTAAGCTTTGTGCCTGGTGAGCATACGAAATCTTGGCTTGCGTGCAGACGAGCCCCTGACACTGCCCACTGCTGGGGGCGGAGAGGTCCATTTGAGGGCCACAGGAATGTGGGCCCAGGTACCCGAGAGAGGCTAGGCGTGGGCTTGCTGAGCTTCCCGGCCCTGCTCCCTTTTATAGCCCCTCCCCCACATGAGTTACTGGCACTTTATGTCAGATTCATAAATGCAAGTGTGTGTGTGCGTGTGTGTGCTTAGAAAGGCCAGGTGACTGAAAAACACTATTACATATATAGAAAAAAAAATAAACTGGAAAATACTGAATGAGAAAAAAAAAAAAAACTTGTGAGAAAAGGCAATAAAAATGGTATTTTAACCACAGCTTTTTTTTTCCTTTTTTTTTTTTTTTTTTTTTTTAAAGAAGTCAAATAATAGCCAGGGCCATTATTCCACCAGTGGCCTCAGCCCTAGACGCAAGGCCAAACCCTGAAGGCACTTGTATTCCTCCACACCGCTTAATGGACCCCCCAGGCTGGGGGCAGGCTTCCAGGAAAGGGAGTAAAGGAAAGAGGAAATGGGTGGAAATGAACCCTGAATTACTGTGATCCACACAGAGAATAGGGCTGAAATGACCACATGACACCACGTCCAGGGACAGAAGCTGAGGCGCTGGGTAGCGCGCCAGCCTACTGCTCCGGATATTATTGTGTTTGGACGAACAGAGCACCTCGGCAGCTCTCCGTGCTGCCTCATACACTCTTCGAGACGTTGAGCTTGCTGAGTTCATTGGCCTCTTCCACGCCTGTGTCATCACAGTCATCCTTCTCCATGGCTCTGCCAAATCGAAACCTTTCCTCAGCTTTGACGGGTTCTCTCCAGGGCCTCTTGGAGGACAGGTGAACTTCCTTGGCCTGTGTGCTGTCATCAGATCCCAGCGAAGTCTTGTCTGAGTACGGAACAGAAGGCACCAAGTTGGCAATCTCATCGGTGGGAGAGCGCCCAATGCTGCCATCCACCTGGACACGGATGTCTGGGGAGATGGACAGCTGGTGCTGGGGCACGGCCCCGCTGTCCATGCACTTGGGGTAAAGGTAGGTCTTCATCTGCCCCTTCCCCTTGACGTTCACAGTCCCCCGGTAGTCGAAGTCGTAGCCCATCGTGCTCAGCACGCGGTAGCTCTCCTCGCTCACCTGGATGCGGCACTCCACCCCCGTGGTGTCCATTCTGCTGGCGATGTTGACGGTGTCCCCCCAGATGTCGTAGAGCAGCTTGGTGGTGCCGATGACGCCGGCCGTGAGGGGTCCGTGGTTGAAGCCGACCCTGAGCTTGAAGTTGAACCACAGCATGTTGTTGTTGAAGTCGTCCACCACACGCATCATCTCCCTGGCGAACTCGAAGAGGATGCGCAGATGCTCCTGCGGGCGGCCACCTTCCTGGCACTGGGCTGTGTTCAGCCCGGACGCCGCCATGTACGTGGCCCCGATGGTCTTGATTTTCTCGATGCTGTTATAGTCTGGCTTGCTCAGCAGCTCGTCGAAGTCCCCGATCAGCTCGTTGAGGACCCGGTAGCATTCCTTGCCCCCTTCGTAGTTCTCCTCATAGAACTCGCTGAAGTTGACGATGCTGGCGAAGATCACCCCTCCGCTGTCGTGGTTCTTGGAGTAGGTCTGGGAGACCTTCAGCTGCTCGGCCACGTGGTAGGGGATGATGTTCCGCAGCAGCCAGTCGGCCTGGTCCCTCATGCTCTGGATCTTGGTGCGATGCAGGTCAGCCTCCACATCCCCGTGGTAGTGCAGTCGGTAGCTGACCTCGAACTCTCGGTTCAGGAACCAGACCAGGAGCAGCAGGAGGAAGAAAGTGAGGATGAGCTCCTTGCCTATGAGGCTGGCCGGCCTCCTGCTGTCCTGCAGCAGTGAGCTGTTGCATGGGTTCCTCTCGGCACTGGGAAGAGGAGAAATGACACAGCTGCTCAGAGCGCCTTCAAGGAAAACTCCAAACTGGCTGAGAGAGTGGCTGCCAGCGTGGCTGGGCGCCACCTCAGCACCTCAGGCCTTAAAGCAGCCTGCTTGTTTTGCAGGCCTCAGGGATGCTTTTGTTTTATTCATATTTGATTAGGTGTCTTCAATCTGCTTTTTTTTTTTTTCCAGCCAAGGCTGGCTGGAACTTCGTATATAGCTGGAGGCTCAGCTGAAATTTACCCTCCTGCCTCCATACCCACATGCTGGGATTACAGGCCTGTGCCACTAAGCCCAGCTGTAACTGCTTTTTAGAAGAACTCATTAGATTTTTTAAAAAAATCTTTTCTTCTCAACTATTTCTTTTGAAAAGATTTCAACTTTATGGAAACATTAAGTTTCATAAAACAAATACTTGCATGCTCTTCAAGTGGATTTACTAATTGTTAAATGTTACCTCTCTGCTTTTCATCTCGACACACATATAGAGACGCACATGTGACATACAAATACACACGGACACACACAAATACTTTTTCCTAAACATTCTGAAAAGAAGTTGCTGGTCTAACTATTTTAGCACATCTCTCCTAAGATACAGACATTGCCCTTGGTGATCAGGGTCATTACTGTACCAAGAAACTGAATATTCTGATAGATCGTACTCTTAGATTTTCGAACAACAGACGTCATTTTACAAGAGTTGCTATACTTTCTCTATTCTCTGCTCGTATGGAAGTTTAACAAACCACGTATTTCCCTTTCTAGTTAGTTCTGCTTTACCAAAGCCATTTTAGACAATGTTAACATTTCAAACAGAACCTGAGATGCATACATTTAAGAGCGATATGTACGCATGGTAACGGTCATTGTAGGTAAGGAGGGTGGCTATTTTCTTATGGCTATGGGGCACTCTAATGTATGGACGTACTACATCCATGCTGAGGGACACGGTAGTCATGGTGAGACATGATGTGTCAAAGACCATACACCAGGGTTATTGAGTCATTTTAAATTTGGTGCATTTAGAATTTAGTTAGAAATTTCCAAGAAGCCCTTTTAAGTGCTGGAGACTGAGCACGGGGCCTCATGTATGAAGACGATCATGCTCTCTCTAAGCTCTAACTCCTGCTCGAGGCCACACTTCCCGGTCCCTTGGACTGACAGCTGAGCTTACTCAGTGGTGCTGTTCTCCTGCAAGCAGGAGCCACCGGCAGCCTGCAGCTGAAACTGGAGATGAACACTGAGGGCCACCATGGCTTTTCTGTTTTTTATTTTTTAAGGCAGGGTTTTATGTAGTGCAGGCTGGCCTAGATTTGCTATATAGCTGAGGCTAACCTTGAATTTCGAACCCTCCTGTCTCCGTTTTTTAAGTGCCAGGATCATAAGCATACACCACCCTACTTGCGCAGTATTTTTTCTTTTGTTAAAAACACCACATACTCAATCACGGAAAATTCAGGGAATAAGTAGACGTTAAAAAAAATGATTCGTCGTCTACTGTCCTATTACCAGGGTCAGTTGATGTTAACATCTGAATCTCCTTCTTCCATCCCTTTCTTGCCCCCACCTTTTCTATTTTTAACAAAACTTTGACTGTTCAGTTCATACAAGTTTTGTAAGTTAATGCATTTCTAAATTGCCTAAGATTTTATGTAATGATGGAATTGCTCACTATAAAAATGGACATAAAACTGATGTGTCCTCAGGTGAGATTTAGGATACAGAAACCTTAATTCCTTAGCCTCAGTATTTAATTAAAATTTTATTATTACCTTTGAAATAAGGGTATTTTAAATAATGGATTTAGCAAGGCCTTTGGAGGCAAAGATAGGAATATCAAGCTAGTTTAAGATTTTCCTAGAGTATATAGCAAGTTCAAGGCCAGCCTGGTTTACATAAGATTTTATGTTAAAAGCTGGGCATGGTGGCACACGCCTGTAATCCCAGCACTCAGGGAAGCAGAGGTAGGCAGATCTCTGTGAGTTCAAGACCATCTTGATCTACAAAGTGAGTTCAGGACAGCCAAGGCTACACAGAGAAACCCTGTCTCAAACAAACAAACAAACAAAACCCAAACAAACAAATAAAAAAAGATTTTATATTGAGAGAGAGAAGGGGAGTAGAGCATGAACTTGAGGCCACCGAGACACTCCCTAAAACACCCCCACAAAGGCCCTTTCGTTGGAATGGTCCCTGGGCCACTCAGGTTGGACAACTGGAGAGCTTAGCGGCCCTGGGTAAACTGTATCATCTGGCCAGACTTGGTTTCCTCATGTGTAAACAGAGGACTAGCTGAAACATGGCCAACTCCCTCTGCCTTAGGGTTCAGGGTAGCTGTGTCAGTTCAGCAGGGGAGGTCATCCTCAGGAGGCCTGGGATACTGGGAGCTGGGATTGGGGAGGGGTTCCATATCCCTGGATGGTAGTAGCCCATGGATCAAGGCTGCTTGCACAGGCAATGTGGCTCCTGCTGAATGCCTGCTCTCCCTCTGGGCCTCATACACAGCCTACTATTGGAAGCTTGGAGCTACTTGTCCTGGCTGAGATCCTCCAGGGCCATCACAGAGCTCAGGGAGGTGGTTCCTGAGAGAAGCCTTTCTCTTTGGTGAGTCCATTGTCTTCTCCCTGTAATGTGCTGAACCCTGAAGCCCAGCTAGGCTGGCCTGGGGACCTGGCACAGGTTTCACAGCCCAGAGGTTGGGAAGCAGGCCAGAGTTTGCTATGGTAGGACAGCCTATGCTTATTTATTTTACTTACAGCACTGAAACAAACAAATAATACTCAAATGCTAACCAAAGTGACCACTTTAACTGACTAAAATATATTTTAGTCCAACCTGAGGTTCTCCAGCTGGCTTTTTGTTGTTGTTTGTTTTTCAATACAGGGTTTCTCTGTGTAGCCCTGGCTGTCCTGGAACTCACAGATCCACCTGCTTCTGCCTCCTCAGTGCTGGGATTAAAGGCATGTGACACATCGCCCAGCTCTCTGGCTGGCTTTTAAGCAGTGGGCAGAGGGTCAGAGCTGGAGGCGCTGAGTTGTTTTTCCCAGTGTTGTGACATTGAGGAACAGTCCTTTTTAGTATGGTTCCCAAGGGACTGAACCTAGGCCAACAGGTTTGGCAGCAAGCACCTACTGAGCTTTCTCATTGGCCTGGACTTTAAACAAAAACACTTTATTACCTATATGTGTGATAAGTGAATGCAGACACACCATGTGGACACGTCACGTCAGAGGATAAGTCTGGAGTTGGTTCTCTTTCTGCTCTAAGCAGCAAGTATCTACTCACTGAGCCACTGGCCCTGCACTGAATTTTGTTTTAGTGCAGGCCTTATGTCCCTCAGGCTGTCTTGGAATTAACTCACTGTGTAGCTGAGAAAGACCTTGAAATTTTGATCCTCTCGCCCCTACTCCCCAAGTGCTGGAGTTATGGAAAATACCACCACAACCAGCACTTCCTATTCTAGGATAGGTGGACAGAGGCATCCAACCCAGTTCTAAATTTAAATAGCAAAGGTCAGTTTTCAAAAAGATTTTGGTGTGTCTGCGTATTGTGACTGAACCCAGGGCTCTGTGCTAGGTAAGGGCTCCACCAGCTCTTCTGGCTCTCATTTTGAGATAGAGTCTCAGAAAAGGCTGTTCAGGCCGGCCCTGAGCTCACTCTGCAGTGATTTTAGATTCACACTGGCCTTGAATGTATGAGTCTGCTCTCTTGGCCTCCTGAGTAGCTGAGCCTACAGGCCTGTACCTTCACAGGTACTTGAGATGAGAAAATGTAAGAATCAATTTATGCCTCAACACTGGGACACTACACTCTGAATAGAAGTTAAAGGAAAACACACTAAAATCTATTATCATGCAAAGCAGGAATTTAAAAAGCCAACAAACAGAAAGCAAGTGCCGCTGGCAGCTCTAGCCAGGCAGGCATGGCACCCATCAACACTGTGACCATATATCAGGACTGCATAGACAGTGCCACACTCTAGGCAGGGGGTGGCTCCACACCCCGCAATCCTCTTGCCCCAGCCTCCAGACTGCTAGTGTTACAGGCCTAAATGTCACGGTTGGCATCATGTTAGCACTTTTTGAGGACCCAGTCTCAGCTGAGCTGCAGGGAAGTGGAGAGCACTTGGCCACGCCTGGGTTTGAGTCCCAGCATCGGGGGAAGGAGCTTAATAAGTGAGAGGTTTCCTCTTTTGTGAACTCTGAGCATTCTGTCCTCCATCCCCGTGGGCTTTCTGGTCTATTAATGTTTTTCTGTCTGTTTCCGTTTTCTTTCCCTTCCTCTTTGTCATTCAGTTTTTTTCCTTGTGGGCCTATTTATTATTGATAAAACAGGAACATTATCTATCTTAAGAGGCATGAAAATTAATATTTTTCTAGTTTTTCTAGTTTGATTATTTTTATTTTTATAGTGTGTATATACATGCATTAATACATATGTGGCTTCAGAGCTACAAGGACACAGCACACATGATCACATAATTTTTATCTTTTACTCTTCAAATTTATTCAGAATTTACTTTTACGTTTATAGTAAAGCAAGGGTTAAATAATTTAAGAGTTTATTATTTCAAATTTCTATGTAAAATGTTGTATTATTAACTTATTATTTATTATGGCTGTCTGTGTGTGCATGGCGAGGTGCATGTGTGGGGAGGTCAGAGGGCAGCTGTGCAGCTGGTTCTTTCCAGCCGCTTTTACACGGGTTCTGGGAGCTAACTCCAGTTGCTAGACTCTCATAGCACCTTTAACAGATCAGCCATCTTGGTTGCTCCGAGTCAAAATATTTTAAATTATAAAATATTTTTCTTTGATCCGTGACATTTCCTGTATAACGTGCTAACGTCTTGCATAAAATTAACCTACTTGTAATACATGCCTTAATGACAGCACACCTTCCCAATAAGACACAACTGTGATCATATGTAAGATGCACTGTGATTATATATGATAATACAGTTACTGCTTGCTTTCTCAACCTACACACACAGACACGCACACATCGGCACACACACACACAAACACTGTAATTTACTGTGGTGTGCATGTTTTCGGGAGACAAAGAACAGAAAGATGGCTGCTCTCATTTTTCAGACACAGGCCCCAGGTTGAAGATTACCTGAAATTCTGTGCTGTATCCAAGGGTGACATCACTATGGAACTGGAAAGAAAATACATAAAAATGTTATAGAAAACAAAAAAGGCATTATTAAAAGCAACCCAAAGAAGAGTTTACATAGCTTTCCTTTTTGGGGACACGAGGTAAACAATTGGCCATGCTCCTCTGAAACTATGTAATATAAAATACATAATATAATATATGCCTAAATGCTTTCTTTTATAAGTCGCGTTGGTCATGGTGGTTTACCACAGCAATGGAAAAGTGACTAAGACTCCTTCTCTTTTGTAAAAGGTGAATTTGGGCTTTAGTTTCCTGACGAGCACTGGGCCCTGCTAGTTCCAGCAACAACTGGGACTAGGCTCAGAGGACCCTCCACGTGGTCCCGGCTCAAGGCAAGTGTCATCTACTAGTTTCATGCCAAAATCTGCTGTTTGGATTGTAGATGGGATGCCCCTACTTTGTCTCTCTGGATCCAAGAGGAGAAGCCAAAGCTGTGACTAAATGTCACCATGAAGGGTTCTCGGGGCACCTGCAGTTACACTTAGGAACTTCACAGTACATGGCACTGTGATGCCCATGAACCCCGATGCTCCACACAGGGAGGAGGAGGCTGCGCGTGTCACTTAATGTAACCAACCGTCACAGCTTCTTCTCAGGCACTGAACTGGCAGCTCTGCTTCAAACTCCCTTTTGGTCTTGGTTTGCAGAGAACATGAGCGTGTCATGGTTACTAATATAATAAGGGGACTGAGGGTGGTTACTCCCGCTGTTCACTAATCACGACTACTCTGTGATCCCTAAAACATGTTAGGGTGATTACATTTGATATTGCTGATGGTGGCATTTGCTAAAGCAGTGGTCCTCAGTGACAGCAATGCCAATCCCAAGGGACACCCAGAAATGTGGACGTTCCTGGTTGTGATAACAAGTTGGGGAGCAGGAATGTTAGATGTCCCGCAAAGCACAATGAAGCACGTCCCCTAACGTTGGAAGAGCCTGCCTCCCTAATCTTTGGATTTACGAGCAGGTGGCTGTCCCCCACAGCTGGGAAGCACCTCTCTAAGAAGGTACAGGAAAAGCCTGGTATTTAGATGTTTGTATACAAACTGAGGCTTAATTGGTTTTAGAGGTCAAGACAACTGTGTACATTCTGCTACCCAAGTTTCTACTCTATTTCCAACTAAGTATTTAGTGGACAAAGTGTAAAAGCCAGTTGCTAGTGTGTGACAGGGCACTTGAGACACATTTTAACAAACTAAGAAGCAAGCATGATGCAACTGGCAGAAGCCACGGGAGGAAGGGATCTCACTGGTCTTTACCATACAGGGCGTTTGGCTTTGCCGGCTGCCTGCCTGGTGGGATTGTCAAAGGTGCTGTCTTTCTGCATCACTTCCCCTTTGCTAGCACTGGGATTACAGGTGTGAGCCACCGTGCCTGGCTCTTACTGAGTTTAAATGTCCCTCTCACTTTGCAGCACACCAAGAACTGTTCCTGCTTCCCGAGGTTCATCAAGTGACACCAGAGTTTCTCTGTCCACATCACACTCTCAGACTTACTATACATCCAGGGAAGACCCGTAACTTGCCATCTTGTCTCTACTTACCATGTGGTTAAACTTCAGGCATGTGCCATCAAGTCTGGCTCTTCTAAGGTTATCTTTTTTTTTTTTGTTTTGTTTTGTTTTGTTTTGTTTTTGAGACAGTCTTGTTATGTAGTCTATGCTAGACTCCAATTTGAAATCTTCCTGCCTCAGCTTCCTGAGGACTGGGATTACAGGCCTGATTTTCCATCATCCTGAATCTCTTTATGTGACCTGACTTCAGGTCTTACTGTCATAGACTCTAATTTACAAAAGTCAGCTCAAATATCCTACAGTAGTCATATGTCTGGCAGAGGCAGGTACCCCAGCACATCGATATGCAAATATATACAGGCTGTGTTCCCAAATCCAAGTGCATGGGATGGCAAGTTTTGGGGAATTCTGAATGTCTTCACACAACTGGTGATATGGGCATCCTTTAGGAATAGAAACTAAGTCTAAATCCAAGCTCACTTACGTTTCAATATATACACATTGTAAACACAACCCGTTGTATGGTGCTATAAACGACTCTTATTCTTTCTTGTTTCATTCTTTCCTGCAATTTTTTGTTTTTGTTTTTCATTTTGTTGTTGTTGTTTTTGAGACATGGTTTCTCTGTGTAGTCTTGGCTGTCCTGGACTCATTTTGCAGACCAGGCTGGCCTTGAACTCACAGAGCTCCTCCTGCCTCTGCCTCTGCCTCCCTGAGTGCTGGGATTTAATGTGTGTGCCACCAAGCCCTGCTTCGTTTCATTCCTATGACACTTTGTTACATCTTTGCTTGTTTGTTTGGTAGTCCTGGGGACTTTGCACTCGGGTAGGCACTTTACCCTGAGCCACATCCCCAGTTGGTATTCTTTGGATACTCTGTGTGCCGGAAGTTATTTCAAGTCATGATGGAAACACATCCTGCAGCATGAAGACAGAGATGCTGGCGAGGGCTGTATGAGATGAGAGTACACACCTGTCCCTGCACAGGGAGATGTAGAGCAGCAGCAGTGGCCCGGCCCCCACGATGGTGGCCAGGGAGGACCTCATCCAGGAGCTGAGCTGGCAGAAGTTACAGTAGTGCACGACAGCCACCAGCACAGCAGAGCCGGTGAACACGGTGAACTGCGGGAGAAGACACCGTCAGGATAGCCTGTCCCCCTCCTCCAACGAGCTCCCATCCCGCCTCTATGCCACACACTACCAGGACCCGCTTGCCCGCACTCCTTCTCAGTATCAAGCATCTCTGGTACCGCTTGTGATGGCTTGAATGTAAGATGTCCCCCACTTGGTCCCTAGCTAGAGGTGCCATTTTGGGAGGGTATGGAATCTTTGGGAAGTAGAGCCTAGCAGCAGGAAGTGGATCTCTGGAGAGCAGAGGGTTGAGGGTTATGGCCTGGTTTGCTTCCGCACCCATCTCTGCTTCCTGTTTAACGGAACTATAAGGAGGTGCAGAGTCCCCGCCTGACCAAGCTCCACTATGGGGTCACACCTTCCCTGCTGAAGGTCACACTCTTTAGCCCTGAGCCAGTCAAGTCTTCATCCCTTGTAACATTCTTCCTCAGGTATCTGGTCACAGTAACAAAAGTGACCATGAAGCATGCAGCAAGGCTTCCTTTGGGTAACCTACTGGTTTTAAAAACAGATCATGTCTCTCGAGGCCACTGTGGGATGCGTCATCTTCCAGATGCTCCCTTCAGCCCTGCTGTGAGCCTCTGAGAAGTGATACTTCCTGGTAGCTCTTGCCACACTCATGCACACACGCACTAGATCTCAGCCTAAGGGTCAAGAAGCAAATGTTTCCCACAACCAGCTCATCCTTTATGGAGCTTAACTCCGGAGTCCCCTTCCGGAGCAGCGGCAGCAGCGGCGGATTCAGGTGCCCGGCAGTGGCCTTCGCAGACTGGCACATTGTCTCTACCGTCTGGACACACGGGGCAGGTACTTCTTGGTAAAGCGTGAGGCAAAGTACAAAGGTTCGAACTGCTGCAGCACTCCACCTCTGTGAGTCCTTACAGATGAACAGGTGGGGACGTGACCGAGTGGCTGAGCACCCGCCTAGCGCAAGAGAGGTCTTGGGTCTGACTGACTACCAGCACCCCAAATTAAAAACAACGGTGTGACGGCTGAAAATGATCATAAATAAAAATGCACTTGGTGCCCTCAGTGTTCCAGACGCCACAGCTCCGTCTGGTTCAGCCACGCTCAGAACACCTACGCGATCCCGCACTTGGGCAGTCACCCAGCACCGAGCCTACTCACTATCTGCTGCTGTTTACTGAGTTCTGAGAGTGAGAATCAGTGACTTCCAGCAAAACCGAGAAAGATGAAAGTGAAGTCAGAGCTGGCATACGGGTATCCTTCTGCACCACTGTGGCCAGAAAGTTGAAAGTTTGAACCATAGAAGCCAAGGATGTCTGTAATTGATCTGAAACTTGGTGGATACTGAGGGAAGTTGGAAAAGCCTGTGCCACTCTTCAGACATAGCCACTGGAAGGTCCACACTGCAGTTTTCGTAGTTGTGGTGTGCGTGTGTGTTTGTGTCTCCGTGTGTATACTTTAAAAAAGGCTGTTGTATAGCCCAGACTGGCTTCAAATCCTACGTAGTTGAGGATGACCTTGAACTCCTGATGTTTCTGTCTCCGCCTTCTAAGTGCTGTGGTATGTGCCAGCATGCCCAGCGCACGCCTCCTGGTTTAAGAGGATGGCTGGGGGCGGTAATAGAGCGCACCTCTTTAAAAACTTGGATTTTGGCTCTCCTCCCCCCCCCCCCCCCCCCGCCACCAGACTGAACGTGAGAGAACCTGGGAAGCATGGAAGGAGGCGGCCTGTGCCACTCACCTGTATGTTTGTCTCAAACTCAGAGGTGATGTGTGAATACACAGCCACGGCGGGGAGAGACACCAAGATGGCCCCAATGCAGTGGCGAGGGAGCCAGCCAGCGATCCATTCCAGCAGCCGCTTAGTGCACGTCATGACGTCCTCTAGGAAGAACACCATTCTGGGGGGCAGAGGGGAGGGGAGGGAGCAGAGGGTCAGCACTGTGCTTCCTCTGCTCCGCACCGCAGCTCCTGATGCCGGCCGGGGGTGCCGGGCAGCCACTGCGCCCCTCCACCTGCCGACAAGTAAGCGAGCTGGCCGCACTCACAGCTTCACACCCAGCTGTAAGGGCACGCTCTCCTTTTGGACAAAATTGCCCTGGTCAAAGACCTCTGTGGGTCTGCGGAGCGTCTGCGGAGCGTCTGCTGTGGGCCAGGGCGTCCTGAAGGGGGCCGGTCTGGAATGCTGTACTGAGCGTTTTGGCCGTCAGGATGGGGGAAGGGTGCTCTCAGTAGCCTTGCCAGGGTCACACAGTGATGCTCTGCCTTGTTCCGCTGGGACCCATAAAACTACCTCCTCAGAAGGCTCAGAGGTAAAAAGACTGCTGATCATACCCCGGCCTGGAGCTCACTGAGCCCTGTGTACAAGCAGGTGGTTTCTGGGGGTGTTAGGTCTTCTGTAGAGGCTGCTGTGGTTGGGACATTTGGAGCCATTCAACCTTTCAGGAAATCAGGTCACATACTGAAGACAGCTCACTGCCACTTGCCCCACCCCTGTTCGTCCAACTGCCTCATTCACAGCCTAGATCATGGGTATGACAGATAGCGTAGACAACTTTTTGTTTGTCGGTTGGTTTTTCGAGAAAGAGTTCCTCTGTATAGCCCTGGCTGTCCTGGAACTAACTGTAGACCAGGATGGCCTTGAACTCACAGAGATCCACCTGTTTCTGCCTACCGAGGGCTAGGACTAAAGGTGTGTGTCACCATCACCCGGCAGCAGACAGCTTTTTTATTTCCTGAGAGGTGTCTTCACAGTCCAGCAACAGCATTCTATGACTCTTAGCATTGTAGACCTGGGTGAGCCACACCTCAGGAAAGTGACAGTAATAGGATAAAGTCCTCCTATGAAGAGCAAGAACTGTGACCAGTAAAGGTTAGGTCTTGTGGAGCCCGGGCTGCCTGGCATAGGGTAGGGTAGGTGGAGGAGAGGACACGGGGACTTTGGGATGGAGACTCACAGAACTTCTCTTAGGCATGTTGCTGGGGACTATGGGCAGGCTCCCTGTCTTTACCTCTGTCAGGAGCCACTGTGGACATTAGTAGCAGCCCTCCTCGAACATGCCCAGAACTTGCACCGTTGGCATTAAACCCTGAAGAGCTGTACTGGCTATGCTCAGCCATGGCCAGCAATTCCCAATCCTCCAGCATTGCCCACAGAGACTCAAGGACACTTTTAGGGTCCTTGGGCTGTTCTGGCTTCCTAACATCTGGGCTGGAACAGAAGGCTTGCCTGCCTTGGGCAGGGCTTGACCCTAAAAGAAGATTTAAGGGATGGTGCAGCCACAGCATTTCATTTAAGGGACAGAGCAATCTCTGCTGCTGAGAGGAAACTGCAGGCCGGTGGGTGAGAAAGAAAGGACGTAGTTATCCCGCACAGCCCACCCCAGAGGGAGAAAAGGTAAATGTGTAAGTCTCAAGGCCAGATCCAAGCTGTATTTTCTGCACTGGGGTGTTGAGTAGAAGCAGCAGTAACCCACAGACAAGGCAGCTCTTGCCATTTCTGTCTTAGTGCTGCTCTTGAGGACCCCAGTTATTAGTGGATGGAACTAGGCTACAGCATGGCAGGTGTGTGGTGCGAGGACCCCTCACAGTAGCCAGGAACCTGGGGGGGGTACATGCAAAGGAAGTGCTCTGGGCACTCACATCTACTACGACGTGGAAAGGACTACGGGCTTCCCAGAACCCAGGGCTGTTCCCTTGTCTGTCTGTCTATCTATCAATCTATTATTTATTGTTTGTTTGTTTGTTTGTTTGTTTTTGAGACAGGGTTTCTCTGTGTAGCTTTGGCTGTCCTGGACATGCTTTGTAGACCAGGCTGGCCTCAAACTTACAGCAATCTAGCTCAACAACCCACCTGCCTTTGCCTCCCTGAGTGCTGGAATTAAAGGTGTGTGCCATCACCCCACTTCTTGTCTATTTTATTTTATCTCTCTATTCTTTATTCTATTCTATTCTATTCTATTCTATTCTATTCTATTCTGTTCTGTTCTATTCTATTCTATTCTATTCTATTCTATTCTATTCTATTCTATTCTATTCTATTCTATTCTATTATCAGTTTTTTTGAGAGCTTTCTTTGTGTAGCCTTGGCTGTCCAGGACTCACAGCTATCCGCCTGCCTTTGCTTCCCTGAGTGCTGGGATCCCTGGGTGCTGGGATGTTCCACCGCCCCTGGTTTCTTATCTATCTATCTATCTATCTATCTATCTATCTATCTATCTATCTATGGTTTTCAAGGTAGGGTTTCTCTGTGTAGCTTTGGCTGTCCTGGACTCACTTTGTAGACAAGGCTGGCCTAGAACTCACAGAGATCTGCCTGCCTCTGCCTCCCTGAGTGCTGGGATTACAGCTACCGATCCCAGCTTCCTGTCTATTTTAAATGGCCATTTTATTCTGCTATCCCCATAGATCATTGTCATGCTCAGCCATCATCAGAGAAGTTTCCTCTGAAGTAGACGGGAACAAAGAGACTTACAACTGGACAACATGAGGAGAGTCAGAGACTTTGAAATACTCAGTCCTGAGTGGGATGTCCATCAAACCCTCCTTTCAGGGCTCAGGGAGGTATGTAGAAAAGGAGGTGGAGATATTCTAAGAGCCAGAGGATATGGATGATTCCAAGAGATCGGTGTGTTCCAGATGGAGCAGGACTCAAAGAGACAGTGGTGTAGAGCTGGATGGGCAGGAGGATCTGAGAGGAGGTGAGGGAGGGGAAACTGTGATCGGAATATATTGTAAGAAAAAGTGCCTTCAGTTTAAAAGTAAAATGGGCTGTCTTTATTCCTGAGATGATTAACTCCACAAGCTGCAGTTAGATCCTCGCCACAGATGTCATCTGTTACCCCTTCCCACTCTCTAGCTTTCTCTTTCTCCATAGTAAGCATTTTCGTTTGAGACAGGGTCTTGTGAAGCCCAGGAGGCCTTGAACTTGCTACATAGCCAAGGTGGCTCTGAACTCCTGACTTTCCTGCCTCCATCTCCCAAGTGCTGGGATTACCTGTGTGCAACCATGCCAGGCTTCAATAGTATTCTTTGCCACACAACATTAAAAACCTTCAGAAAGTCTGGTTTGTCTGCTGTTCCTGTTGCTTGGTGTCATGTCTAAGTGCTGCCTGTTTCTCAGGAGGATGAGGCTGGCTCATGGGTCAGCAGACTTGTTCTCCGCTGCTGCCTGTCATGTATTCCCTCTGCACTTCTTTCTTCCTTCTGAATCTCTCACGCTCCTTTTAATCTCTAATGTAGGAAACCCAGGGCCCATCTGGCATCAGATGGGCTGCATGGGGCACCGACCCTCTCCTGTGCCACCTGTGTGGTGTGAAGGTCAGCGCCTGCAAGGAGGATGCCTCGAAATGGGGTGAGAGGGAGAACATCAAGTTCTGTTCTCTTTAGACTCCTGGCCCCTGTGCTGGTTAATCAGTTTTGCCATTAACCACGGAGCCAGAAGAGGGAGCCAGAGGCTAAACATTGGAGAGCCACTCCTTCTACTGTGACATACCTGATGGACACTACTAGGGACAAAACCTCCAGCAGCAGGTCGGCACCAAAGACGGCCAGGGCAGCCGGTGGGGGAGGAGTGGCGGTCGCCCCATACTTTAGGAAGCAGGTGATGGAGAGAATCAGGAACACCGTGGTGGACAGGAGCACATCCAGGAGGGAGCTGAAGGTGGCGCTGGCGAACGTCTTCACAGGAGAATTCTTTATGACCTGTTTAGTGCAGGGAAGGACAGGGATGAACTGGCCTGTCCAGATGGCAGGACAGTAGCATGGAGGAACAGGTCATCCATCTTACTGAGTGCTCCAGACCAGGAGAAAGCTGTCACGCTTCGCCTGGGCGTCTCCTCGCTACTGCCGCATTTAAAGTTAAGAAACTTGCACCAGACTCCGTCAGTAGACTCTGAAGCACGTTTACATAGAGGCTCTGAGAGATGAGTTACTGACTCGGAGTCCAGGAGTACACATCTTTAAAGGAAGAAGAATGGCAGCAGGTGATGATGGATGTGAAAGCCAGCTTCACCATGAGACAGGCGGGTATTTAAGAAAGCAGTCGAGGAGAGCCTCCATGTGTGAAAGAGAGCATACAGCCTTTACCAAGGGAGCCTTCAAGGCTGGAGACAGGCTCAGGAGTAAAGAGCATCTGTTGTTCCTCCAGAGGACCTGGGCTTGATTTTCAGGTGGTTCAAAACCATCCATAACTCCAGTTCCTAGGGATACAATACCCTCTTCTGTCCTCCATGGGCACCAGACACACATGTGGTGCATATACATATACAGGAAGGCAAAACACACATGTAATTTTTAAAAAAAAGAAATCTAGGGTTTTTAAGGGAGAAAGCCCATGCGGGTGCTGCTCTGGGTTGGCAGGGTACTGGGCGCAGGTCGGACATGAACCAATGCTGAAGAGAACCAGCAGCCTGATCCAGGGAATACAAGAAACAGGGCATTGTATAACGTTTCCTAAAGAGGCACACATGTACTGTTAGGGAATTTAGGAGGAAGAAACTGCTATCACATGCTGTGTCTAAAACATGACCAGTTCCAGACCCTTGTGGGCCCTTTAGAGAGGGGCCACCTCAGTCAGGGCTCCGAACAGCCCACAGAGGAAGAGGTGCCATTGCTCCTCGTGTGTAGATGGAGGTCAAGAATAGCTACCCAAGGTAACACTGGGAATGAGGCGCCAGACTGGGCTACAGCCGGATTAACTGACTCCCAAGGGTTCCCAGGCCTGTCTTGGGATGAAGATGCAGGATGCTGAGCCAGGGGCTATGGTGAAAGAACAACACACTGCTGGCGGGGCTTCGCATCCAGCCTTGGCAACAGGGCTCCGGGACGAAGGGGCTGGAGGTATGTGGGAGCAAGAGGCCTGTGACCGGCCCTCAGCAAGTTCCTTTCAGGTCAAACTGGCTCTGGGTCCTCAGCCTTACAGAGACTCCAGAGATGGGGAAGATGGGAAAAGTCAGGACTTGGCCTTGGGGAATGAGAGGGCTGCTGGCCAGCCCCAATGTCAAGCCTGAACTCACCTGAGCAAAGTGGGCACAGGGCTAGAGTCCTAAAACCCATGGAATTCAGAGGCTTTGAAGATGGCTCTGGAGCTGGTCCTAACTTCTGAGGTTCCCTTAAAAGACCCAACATCTTGGAGGTAAGGCTGCCACAATGACCTCTTTCGCAGAGGTACATGTATGTCATTCTTCTCTTTCTGGGGCCCTAATAATCATTCTAGGGAGTAGCCAGGGCTTGGGCAGAGAAGGCTCAGGACAGCCAGTGCAGGGACTTCATTCTTGCCCAAATGCCCAGCTTCCTCAAAACTGGTCCAGATTGGTAATGCTTAATATTTTTTGCTTTAGGCAATACCTGCATGATTTGTGTTTGGAATGTTCAGTGATATTCACTGTCCAGTGGGGGACTGAGGGGGCAGCAGTTCTAATGACACAAAGCAAAGATTAGCCATCTCTTGTACATCATGGACTCTCTGGGTCATGAGCTGGATATCACAGACATAAAGGTCTGCCCAATAAGCAAGAGAAATCTGAATGGAACTCCTCTTGGTACTGGGTTCAGGTGATGGTTCACTTTGGTTCTGGGCCACTCAGGTCAGGTCGGGGCGAAGGGAAAGAAGGCTGGGATCTGCTCCAACCACGCCCCAGTTCTCCCACTCACTGCTTTCCAGCACCCCTGATGAAGGTGTCTGCTGTGTGGGCTGTGCTGGGATTCAGATAGCATGGAAACAGAGAGCTGAGTGTCAGGTTCAGAAATCAGATGGATGCCAACGTGGGTGTGCACGAAGAGGAAAGAAGACACAGGAAAGTGAAACCCAGCTGGCATCAAGGAAGGGTTCTTAGTGAAAATGGTGTGTGAGCTGAGAGGAAAGTTAACTCCCTTAACTGGATGGAGTTAAGATGGCAGTGTGGTAGGGGGGACGTGAACCCTACATTCTGGATGGAGGTACAGACGTCTGATTCTTTGGTCCCATTTCAGGGGGTGACAGCGCTACGGGGAAAGAAGTGTCACTCAAGAACTCAGAACAGGTGTGACCAGGCATGCTTCCAAGGCTGGAGACAACCATTAGAAGACCAGAAACAGCAGCTATAGAGGAAACAGTCTGGTAGAGATGCAGCTTGGCTTTAAGATAAGGGAGCATAAAAAGCCTTGGGTTTTTCTCCCTGGCACAGATAAATTCACAGGCTTCCTGACTGTGGGAAATCAATGTTAGCCTTTATTTCCCTGTCACTCGGTAAAACACGAATGCACAGTGAACAGGGCTTGTGCCGTGAGGTCGTGAGGTCGTGGTAAGGACGTACCTCCTCCTGGTAGCTGGTTCTGTAGGATCGCTCCAACTCCTCGTCCAGGAAGTTCAGGCTGAACTGATTGATGGGCGGCTTGAAGAAATAATCTTTCATCAGGCTGGAAGACACAACCAATGCACTCCATCAACACCAGCAGCACGGGGCTCAGATGCCTCTCAGCGAGCACATCACCAGAGCCACCTCTGAAAGTCACCATGTGACAGGTGTTGCTTGCACAGACACTGCTCTGGGAAAGTCCTTTGTGTGTTCTAGACACAATCATACGCTGTTTCCCTTCACTAAGGAGTGAGCACTCTCCACGATCACCACACTCCTTGTTAGAGCCTGTTTCTGAACAGGCTCACACACCCAGGATGGGAAGACAATGAGGCAGCCCATCATCCCGTGAGGTGATCTTTCCTGAGAGCCAGCAGATCTTGGTGCTGCGAGGACTTATACTGATTTGGAGACTTCAAATGAAGGCAACTCCAAAGGCTTCCTGTCATCCCGAATACTGACAGTAATTACACCTTAAAGGTAACAAGTTGTTACCGTGAGATGGTGTTTGCAGCTGGCGTAACTGTGGGGCTGCTGTCAAATATTCAGAGTGCAGGTGAGACTTGAAAATGATCGTGCTCAACCTGAGGAATCAAATCTGATTTATGTGACTCTTTTGTTCTTGTACGGACTATCAGCAAATCATGGCATCCTTGTAATGCTTTGGAGAGTTACTATAAATTTCAGGGAATGCTGGTGTGATTTCAGAAGGTACATACAAATATGGTGTGATCTCTCTCCCCCACATATTAGCCACTGGCCAGAAGAAGGAGCCTCAAATGTGCCTGCCACAATGGTGCACTTCCTCCTTTTCTTGCTACAGACTGGATTCTTTTCTGTGACAAATAGGCAATAACTTATGATCGTCTCAGACTCAAATGAGGGGACAGTCTGCTCCTTCATGTTGGCTCTGTACTCCTTTCTAGTGACAGGGGAAAAATGCAAAGCAGTCGCAGGAGGATTCTGGTATCGTCATTCCAGTAGTCTAGTGGCAGCTTCAACTGTGTTGAAGCTATGTGGCTCTTCTGCAGTCAATATTTGGAGTTTCTGCTTCTTGTTCTCACAGAAAATATAAAAGCAACTGCTGGGAGGACAAGACAGTAATCAAGACAGTTGGAAGGAGAGGAGGCATCCTTGGAGGAAGGGAAGAAAGACTTAAATTTCCCATCTTTTACCTTTGTTTTGTTTTCCCTGAAGACAGACATTGGTTAGTGCCATCACTAACCCTCTGATAAAAACCTGTAATCCCAGCATTCCAAAAGCCAAGGCAGGAAGATCATGAGTTTAAAGACCCACGGGCTATAAATATGAGCAGGGTGGGGCAGGAAAAGGGGAGAAGGGAGTAGAGGAAAGGAAGGGGAGTGAGGAAGAAGGAAACTCCTCCAGGTGCTGGGATCTTGGGTTTGCATCACCATGCCTGGCTATTTTAAGCCAGTCTTAATGGCTTAAAATCTAGGTACGAGGGACTGGAGAGATGGCTCAGCTGCCAGGAGTGCTCGTTGTCCCTCTAGAGGACCTAGGTTCCATTACCAGCACCCACATGGTAGCTCACAATCATCCACTATTCCTGTTCCAGAGATCTGATGTCTCCTTCTCACTTGTACACACATGGCATACAACATATACATGCAGAAAATATTCATACAAATAAAATAAAAATTAAAAATTTAAGTTAACACCCAAATATAGAAAATACCGGGTGACTACAGATAAAGAATGAGGTTACAAATCCCAGAAAAGCAAGAGGCAGGAAAGAGAAAGCCCAGGTTCTGCATATAAATTGTTCACACATCTAAGTCACATCTTGAAATTGCATCTTAATTGCACATGACTTGTAGACTCCAAACAGCACAGTTAAAGCAAAAAGAGACCATTTGAATCAGATAAGTGAACTGCTTGCTGAGACAAAATCTTAGTATTCTTCAAAGATAGAGAATGAAAGTCAGATTTTCTAAGTGTCACACACAACGTTGCTAGGCTTCCAAAGAATTTGGAAAACACAATGCCACATAAAAGAAATGCCATCACTGTATGTAGCGCAACTCAAGACAATGGAGAGTCTGGAGTAAGAGGACCGGGACTTACAATTCATGCAGCTGGAACAGTGAGGGCATGAATAAGGGGAGGAGAGCAGCAGGTATACATTGCAAGATTTCATTTAAAATGAAGTGACTTAACACTAACTCTAAGTCAGCAAATAAGGCCTAAGGGTGCTGCCCTAGACAGCTTCAGCTGTCAACTGACAGAACCCAGAGTTACCTGAGGCTGTCTCACCTGGGGGATTCACCAGCTCCGACTGGCCTGGGGTCTTTATTGTTGATTGATGTGGGAGGGCCCAAGGCACTGTGGGGAGTGCCATCCCCAGGTTGTATAAGAAAGACAGCTAAATATGAGCCTGGGAGGAAGCCAATGAGCAGAGTTCTATGGTTTCTGTTCTATATTCCTGCCTTGAGTTCCTTCAACGATGGATTGTGACTTGGAAGCTTAAGATGAAATAAACCCTTTCTTCTCCAAGTTGCTTTGGTCATGATATTTTATCACAGCAACAGACTAGAAACCAGACCAGATGTGTATCTGCGACTCTTGGAGCTACAGCTAGGCTTTGGCCAGGGTAACCAGCTGGAACAATAGAAAAAGAGTGAACACACACATTACTGGAACAAGGCTGTCAACCACCTGGACCTAACTGATGCTTGCAGGTCAGAGCATTCTGCAAAAGGGCAAAATAGTGAAGGACGGAACACCACACCTAGAATACATATTCAAGTATACATATCTCCACAAGAACAAGCCATGTATGAGAACATAAAACAAGCCTCAGTTTATATTAAAGGACTGACATCACACAGAGCATGTGTTTGGACAACAGCATTAGACTAGCTATCAATAACATATCCCAAAACCATTCATCACAAAAAGGAGCCAGGGCACCTTGGAGAAAAGGCTCGTTCCTGACTAGAGCAGGGAAGGTATGAAGAGAGCTTGGACCATCCTGTTGTGCTAAAGAGACTATGTCAAACAAAGGTCAAAAAGACCCCGTCTTAAGGGAGTCAACTGGCCAGATTCAAGCACTCGAGTGTAGTAAGCGTGGATGGAACAGAACAGAAGAGCATGAGCTCAGGTGAACAATGGTGGGTAAGGAGGTAACAGGGAGGGCGCCTCTGTACAGTGGCTGCCGGACACCAGCACGGCAACAGGCTGCAGATACAATCCACCACTTGGACTACCATAGCACAGACGGTTTCAGGCGAGACTCATCAATAGCTGTAACCCGAAGGACGTCTGACAAAGGGGCAACATCTTCCCGCAGATTGCCCATTAGTCATAGTGACAAGATAATAACGATAGTTGGAGAAACTGGTAATACCTCGCCAGTGAAGATGCCTATCACTTAATTAAGGACCAATGGGCATCATTTCCTCTGGATACAATATGGGAAGAAGAACATGATAGACGTCACTCCCATGAGGCCTGGCCAGAGAAGCAGAACCTGTGTTTGACAGGGACATTCACAAAACCCAACATCCAAGCCTTTCTACAAATGAGTCAGCTTGTAAGCTTTTCAAACGTTAACATAAAAGACTACACAAGACAGCCAAGGAACTGTCTCCGATTTGCACGGCTGTACAGGACGGACTGATCAGTAAAGGACACAATGTGTGAGTCTGGGCGGAGGGCGAGAGTGCCGCCAAAGACGTGAGGGGCCGTTTGACAATCTGGAATACGGACTTAAGGCTAGAAAGAACATCCCTAAACTTCCTGAGTTTCATGTACGTAAAACATCCTTATTTTTAGGAAGCGCCATATAAAGGGGCAGTAAGCATCCTGTACCAACATACTCGTCAGGTTCAAGACACAAAAACAGAGAAGAGAGGGAGAGAGGAGGATGGGAGGAGGGCACAGAGGGCAGGAGAGAAAAAAGTGAACGGTAAAATAAATACACACTGGGTGCGGCGGCACACACATATCTGCCAAAGCAGAGGGATTGCTGCAAGTTCAAGCCCACCCTGAGCTACAAAGCAAGTCCCAGGCCTGCCAGGACTGCACATGAGGCCCTGAGCCAACCACTGTTCTCGGAAAAGCTGGGAGGGTGTTAATAAGAACAAAGAACAACAGCAAAAATATCACAAACCACTTCTCTGTACGGTACCCAAAACAAGCGGGGCAGGAATGATGGCTCAGCAGGTAAAACCACTTGCTACCAAGCCTGACAATCTGTGTTTGATCCTCAAACTGACTCTTAGAAATTGTTCCCTGACTTCCAATGCGCACTGTACTTGAAAGCAGGGACACGCACACACTAAAGGAATATAATAAGAATAAAGAAAATAAATAAAATGCCAAAAGTTGGTGTATCAGGCAGAGAATATAGTTCCGAGCTAACCTCAGAATAAAAAGAAAGTGATATAACGACAAGAGAAGGCAGACATGTAGACACGGTGACTCAGAGCGCCCGAAGACTCTGCCACTGTGGCAGGCTGCCAGGGCTTACCTGTCCTCCTTGATGACATCCACAAAGTGGGCATCAGTTTTCTCGCGGATGTTCTTGAACCTCAGAGGGAGGAGGGCTGACTGGTCCAAGCTCACACCTGCCCACCGTCCCTTCTCCTGCAGGATCTCACACAGGGAGGTCTGGCTGTTGGTGAGCTTCTCCTCCGGAGGAGGGCTCAGGAGTCCGTTCTGGGTTTTGGAGCCCGGACCTCCAGAAGCCTGCCTCAAGACAAAGAGGAGGGACCACGGGGAGTGAAGCGGTCGCCAGGAGCACGTGCCCCTTCTCACCCGTCCCCTAGCATGCTGGGGTCCCCAGCATTCCATGTCTCCCCCAGCCCTGCTTCCCTTGAGGCCCTGCTTTGGGACAGGGCATGTCTGGGTGTTCGGCAGCCAGAGGAAAAGAGGTGGTAGAACAGCCATCAAGTGAAGAAGATGAGCTTCACACAGAAGGGGGCTACGGGGAAGGTCGGAGAAGCCCAAGGAAGGGTCCAGGGAAGGAAATCCTAGGCTTATGGATGAAGGGTGAACAGGACTTAGTTGGGGAGCCTCTGGCTATGAGAGTCACCCATCCGAGTCCCCTGCAGATTCTGTAGAATGACAGAGACGGGGCTCCCCAGGAAGCAGGTTCTAAAGCCTCCTTGAAGCTCTCTGCTCAGGCTTTATTCTGCTTTCCACTCCAGGCCTGCCCTGGTCTCAAAGCCTTGACTCCAGGCAGCCCCTAGGCTGTCAGCTCTGCCTCAGGAGTCTCTTGGGTGCATCTCTTACCTGGAGGAGGGCCTTTGTCCCCTTTGTACCTCTGCACTCTGCCATATATAAAGCCCAGCCCATAGCCCTCTAACCCAAGCCTTTTGAGCTGGCTACCTGTGAGGAATCTCACTCAGCTCTACTTCATATGAGTTGGCTCTAACCACCCACCCTGTTTTTCATTTTTCTTTAGTGCTGGGGACCAAATCCAGGGCCTTGTCCATGCAAACCACATGCTCTACCTTCACCATGAGCTACATGCCCAGCCCCACCACCATTTTATTTATTGGTCTATTCAAACCCAAAGCCTAGATGGTGTGGAGCGCTATTACCTAAGAGGAGTTATTCTCAGAACTAAGAAGTTGACGAGACAGGAATGTCACCTTAGGTGGATGCGCCAGGAGAGGTACTGACAGGAACAACAGCCATGAGCTTGTTACCTTGGTGCTGGTCTTAGGCTCGTCTTGACAGCCATTTTGCACAGCTCCTCCTTCTGCACCAGCTTCAGATTTGGGGGCAAATGTGATTCCACAAGAAGGGCAAGTCTGAGAGAAAACACAGGCCATAGGAATACACTTGGAGAGCAGCTCCACGACACATTAGACAATTCAGGGTTGCTGTCACAACCTGCTCTCCCAACAGGAGTGAGGGAACCAGGAAGCCGCATGGAGCCACACTGGTTCGGAAGGCCTGAGAACAAACCGGCAAGAAGAAAAGGGAAAGAGAAACCCGTACATGAACTCAGCGCAGCACAATGGCCAAGAGGTGGTGCAAATGCCTCCTGGATTTGAAGGCTCAACCGACCATGGTCATTCACCAAGGAGAGGTCATTCAGCCATGATGAATCAAAGCCCTGACACCTGCCTTAACACAGACAATCCCTGGACATACAATGCTTTTTAAAACAAGTTAATTTGTTCTTTAACAATTTCATCTCTGTATATAGTACATTCTAATTACTCTCAACCTTGATCTTTTTATCTTCTTTCCACTCCTGTCAACACCCCCTCCTCCCAATCTTTCCCACATTCCTGTCTTTTTGTTTTGTCTTGTGACCCACTGAATTTATCTAGGACCATCTGTGTGGGCATGGGTTTGGAATTATCCACTAGAACTTGGCAGGTTAGCTGGGTGGTGGTGGCACAAACCTTTAATCCCAGCACTACGGGAGAGGTAGAGACAACCAGATCTCTGTAGGTTCAAGGCCAGCCTGGTCTACAGGGCAGCCAAGGACAGCCAAAGCTACACAGAGAACAAAAACAAAGAACCTGGTGGATTTATCAGTAGACAGGCAATTGAAGACGACTCACCCTCTTCCAGAACTTGTCAGTAGCCAATAAACTTAGCAGAGAGGAACAGGGCCTGGTGGCGTATGCCAATAATTCCAGCACTCTGGGAGGCAGAGGCAGGTGGATCTCTATGAGTTTGAAGCCAGTCTGGTCTACAAAGTGAGTCCAGAATAGCCAAGGCTACACAAAGAAACCCTGTCTCGAAAACAAAACAAAACAACAACAACAACAAAAAAAATCAAACAAAGTTTAGCAGAGAGGGATAGAGACCCCGTGAGCCCCACTCCCACCCATTCCTGACTGCTGACAAGGCCAATACTGCCCATGGGATTATTGCCCTTACAAAAGGGAACCAATTAATTCCCTTGTCAGTCCCATTCTGTGAGAAAGGGCCATATAACTATGGACTGGATATCAAATGTACTGGCTTCTAGAACAGTGACTGATTCCTTTAAAAATATACATTTATTTTAAATTATGCATATGTATATTTCTGTGTAGGTATGTGCACATGTGAACAGGTGCCTGAGGAAGTCAGTTACCATCTGCCCAATTCAGATGCTAGGAATTAAATCCAGGTCCTCTGCAAGAACAGCATGTACTAACCACTGAGCCATCTCTCCAGCACAAAGACAAATTTCTTCTGTGTATGTCATCCAGTTGATGGATTTTTTTTGTTACATCACTTAACTGGAGTAAGACAGGCTTTTTTTCTTTTTAAGGGTGATGAAAATGTTCTGGAGTAACATGGTGATGGTCATACAACCCTGCAAATATACTGTAAACTGAATTGTTCGTGATTAAAAGGTTGGTTTCATGAATCACATCTTACAGTGACAAAACAAGTGAGTACAGTGTTCACCACCTTGTTCTTGAGCAACACGGAAGCTGAGGCTCATGAGCTCTATCTCTGTGCTGGGCAGGTGGATTGAAAACTAGGGACATGTACTGGCAGACTCAGGAATTCCAAGCTTGGAGGAATTAACTGACCTAGGATGGCAAAGGTCAGACGCAGTACAGACAGGCGTAGGACAAGAAAGGCTTTCTTTTTAAATATCCAGGAGCTTTGAGCCTCAGCTCAACCACTCACTAACTTGAAGACCCTCCCCCAATAAAATCGATTTACCTCAGGGCCCTCATATGTAAGATGAAAGCAGACACTTTTCTTGGAAAGATGCTTTAAAGATTAAGTGGAATACGTATGTATACAGCCTAACAGTTCCTGGGACTCACAATATCCTGAATAGAGTCATTGCTACTGTTAATGTGACAGAGCAGCCTAGGAATGGCATGGCAATGGCTAGCTGCCAATGAATATGATTTCTGCTCAGTGCAAACTATTAGGCACTAGGGTTAATTATGGAAGACTAGATATAATTGGGAAATTAAAAATATGCAACGCTTCATAACCTAAGGGCAAGAGTATGACGTAGGTTAACATCCAAACTGAGGTCACAGGTCACTGCTGCATGAAATGAAAGCATAAAGACTCTAAAGAGTTACGTAGTTTGGGAATCTGATATAATGCAGACTAAACATACATATTCATTTGAAAGATGAAAGTAACATGCCAAAGCAGCTATTTATCAGCTAGCATATCTGAACAAATACTAGCTCCCAGGTAAAGTCTGCTTATATTCTTTATTTTTAAATTTCAATTCTCTGTGTACACGAGTGTATGTGTGCTGGGTATATGGAAGAACTCAGAGGACAGCTTCACGGAGTTTGTTTTCTCCTTCTATTTTTAAGTGGGTTCTGGGGATCAAATTCAGGTTGTATGGCAAGCACTTTCCCCATGGAGCCATCTCGCCAATGCTGTGCTTACACACTAAAACCGATATCAACAAGACAGAACTCTTCCCACTGCTAAATCAATACATTTTTTGTTTTTTTGAGATGGTATCTCATGTATCTCAGGTTAGTCTTGAACATATGTATCAAAGAACAATCTGATTCTCCTGTCCCTACCCACCTACTGCGGGGCTTGTGGGCGTATCCCGCCATACCCAGCTACAAAGAGAAAAATGTCAAAACATCTTGTGGTATTGACTGAGTTAAAGCTCAAACATTTGCTAATGGACAGGGTTATGAGTCAGGAAAGTATTCACCACACCAGTGTGTGGACTAGTCCATGGGGTTTGTTTCTTTTCTCCTATCTTTCTTTTCTTTTCTTTTCTCCATCCCTCCCTTCAACCCTCTCTCCCTCTTTCTTTCCCAGCACTGGGAAAACAGAGACAGGAGGACCCCTGGGCCTTGCTGTCCAGCCACTATAGATGAACCCAGGATCTCCAGACTCAGCGAGAGGCTTGACTGAGTCTCATTACAATGGACAGTGACTGAAGGAGATGCCTGTCATTGCCCTCTGGCCTACACACATGAACACACGCATGCCTGCATGCACACATCATCCAACATCAAGCACAAAGTGACCCCCTGAGCCCCCAGTGGAAGAATGAGTAAACAGGCCCAAGGTAGGGAAGAGAGCCTGCACTGGTGCGGGTGCAGTGTTTGCCTTCTCCTCCAGAGGGCGCACTCAACATGTCACTAACCAAGAAGTTGACTGCGGCAAGACACAGCCTAGGTAGTGGGGACAGGCTGAAAGACATTTATTTGATTCAACCCCTCGGTGCCACAGATCTTGAAACGGGAGAGTGAAACAGTAAACATTTATTATTTCTCTGACTACTTTTAAACATCAAGACTTTTGCAGAGCCACACAGTTCAGTGGTTAAGGGCATCGACACTGCCACCATTCTGCCACAGTGGTCCCGGTTCCGCAGCTAATCGGCACAGGACCGCTCTAAGCCTCCGTACAAAATGGAGTTATGTCTACATAATGGTGTTACTACAAGGGCAAAATGAGGATGCTCATGTGAAGTGTGGCAGGACACTTCTTTGAATTTTTGAGACAGGGTTTCTCTTTGTAGCCCCGGCTGTCCTGGACTTTCCAGACTGGCCTCAAACTCACAGAGATCCACCTGCCTCTGCTTCGTGAGTGCTGGGATTAAAGGTGTGTCAGAATACTTCAAAAGCAGATTTACCTACCTATGTATCTATCTGTCTGTCTGTCTGTCTGTCTATCAGACCTGGTCTCAGGGCTGCAGAGCTGGCTAGGTTAAGAGCACTGGCTACTCAATCATGAGGACTAGAGTTCAGATCCCCAAACTAATGTCAGGAGGCTCACAAAACACCTGCAACCCTCTCCTGGCCTCCACGGGTACCCACACAAGTGCGCACATATCCTAACACACACCAACATAATTAAAGTAAAATAAACATTGGTCTAACACAGGGTCTCGCTATATAGCCTTGGGGTCCTCAAACTCATCACACAGTTAAGGCTGTCTTTGGAGTTGCAACCATCCTGCTTCCACGCCCGAGTGTTGGGATTACAGACAATGCACCACCACGGACAGCTTCAAAGCACTTTCATTTTGTATGCCAGCTCAACTCACATGGTAGATCTTTCAAGAGAGAAGGGTTTTAGAAGCACATTCTGGCTATATAGAGGGAACTGATCGGTAATGTCTGCCATGGGCAAAAGGCTGGACAAGGGGGAACGTAGCTGCTGTCTCAGGACCTTCTTAGCTGGGAGGCACTGGGGCGGGGGGGGGGACCTAGACCTGTAGCAAATCATTTCACTGAACTCTAAAATGGACTCTATGCTAGCCTTTCTTTCTCAGCTACTTTATTTTGGGGAGATTTTCTTGATTAGAAGTTTAGAACAAATGAAATTTCAAAAAATTTCAGAAAAAGCTACCTTCTTTGGGAGAGATACTCTCCTGTCTCAACACCCTACTCAGCCTGTAAGCCCCTTTGTAGCATGAGGCCTCTACTGAACAATGTGTGTGCCTCTCTTCTTCCTCTACAGCCCCAACAGCAAGTTTCCTTTGACTATTCCTATGGCCTAACTTCAATCTGAATTACAGCATATTATAACCCAGTCTTTGCTGAGCACTGACACATCTGTGAAACCTTCCCCACTCAACAAAAATGTCCATCTCCCCTGCAGCTATTGGTATCTCCACCATTGCCAAGAACCTCCCACCCCAACCCAGACAAGAGCCTTTCCTGTGCACCCTGGGAGGCATGGCTCACTGTGGAGCAAGGCTGACAGGCCTTCACTGTCACAATGACAACAGCCATGGTTTGGAAGTGTTCACGCGCTAACGACAGAGTAACAGCCAGGTCTGAGGGCTTGTCAAACATAAGCTCAGGGAATCCTCTTGACCACGTGGAGCCTTCTGGTGCTAAGA